CAGCACCGTTCGGTCTTCGCCAATCGCCTTCACCTCTCCGGTTCGGTTGTCATAGGGTTGATTCTCATATGATGCTCATCGTACCCTCTACATAGATGAAGCACAATGGTGAAACCTACCCCAGATCAGAAGGCCCCGAATAACTCGGTATAGGAAAGAGTCTTTGTTAATAACTTCCTCACGTCTTTGGACCTTAGATCTCGCTCGTCACCTCTCGCGCTCGCCAGGAAGCGGATACTACGCTCGACATCGCTGTAGATTTCAACCACCACACCGAAACTCAGATTTCCGGTCCTGAGCAAAAGGTACATCTGACAGCGTCTGAGGCTTCAAATAATGATCATCGTTTTGGTCAGACCATGACTTTCTTTGTCAAGGAACAGTTACAAAGCCCAAGGAAAGTGCGTTATTGGATACAAGCCGAGGGTCACGCTTGGTCCTTCGGAGGGGAACATTAGGAGGAAGTGATCAATCGCATAGCCACTGAGGGCCACTATAGAGTGCATACGGCTCAAACGCGACGAAAAGACTCGAATCAGGAACTTTTATTAAACAAGGAGATCTAGGAATTTTTGTGTCTGTTCTTGATTTCAAAATTGATTATATTGCGTCTTGTGAGGCTTCCGTAATTGCTGCAACTGTGGCCGAGCGGTTAAGGCGTGAGATTCAAGAGAAATCTCTTTCCAGATTTTCTGGAATTCCTCATGACGAAAGTCGCGTGGGTTCAAATCCCACCGGTTGCAAAGTTTTGCCTCTTTTTCCTGCAGTACGGCCTGGAAGCGTTAAAAGCTCTTCAATGCTCTCGCTTTTATTCTTTTCAACTTTAATAGTACACTCTATGGCTGGACCATCGAAGGGAGTTCTACCAAATTATCAAATTAGGATTCTGCGAAAGTCTCTTTTGTCTCTAGTCACTTGACTCTATTCCCCGAACAAAGTAGTACATTATCAATCCACGTATATACATTCATCCCACTTTAGAGCTTAATTTGTGGGTCGACAGTGAGTGGTGCTGTGTGGATGCCTCTTAAAGCCTACCATATCGAGAGCATATGCTCCAGATTTTGACCCACTCGCTCTATCGTGTCTATTTCCTCTTCTAATCGACGCAAGAGCTATATATATTTCATTATGCAGCACCCGTATTTTCTAAACGGGCTAATGTTGGGGTCAACTGGTCCTCCTTCGCCCTCACCGACGCGTTCGAACAAGCGAAAACGAGAATCAGACACGGAGAACTACGAAACTCCTACAAAGGCGCGGTTTAGGACCGCGTCTTCACACACGTTGGGACTTGCAACTCCTCTTGATAAACCAGTTGGAGACCCTTCCCCCCATTTGACGCTTCATGTTGGTATATTTACACGTTTACTGTATAAATCTGTAAATTCTTATCATGCTTTATTTTGACGCTTCTAGGGTCCCTTGTTTGCGAACGCAACACCGATTCTTTCAGGGAAATTGGAGACCGCTGTCCCGAGCGAAAATGGATTCCTACCGTCTGTTTATCCTTCCCAACAACTAACTCCACCGTCCTCGGTATCTCCATTCGTCGATCATGTATCGGCTGCATCGATTATGACCGAGCCAAGCTCGCCCTCCCGTACAAGATCAGCAACAGCGTCAACGCGGCAGACATTACCGCTCTCAACCCTCGCTCTGTCGTTACCTTCGCTCTTGTACCATCCGCCCAACTCGTCCGACCACCTCGTCTCCGTCGAAGCATCTATTCTTGCCCTTAGAGGGTTGTTGATGATTGCAAAAACGGAAGAGGGCGCACGTATCTTGTCTCCAGAGCAGGAAGGATATGCGTGGATGATGTTTGCAGAGCTGGGGATGCAAGTCCTTACGGATCATCGGACCGTCGTTCAAAGAGATTCGGCAATGTCCGTCGAGGAAGAATCAAAGCAACGGAAAGGAGACACTACTATCTCCACCTCTTCCTTGATCAGCTCAGCCTATACCCCTCTACCACCCTGGGCTCCCCAGTTTGAGGAAATTGAGACTGCTATATCTCGTTGCCTCCGGTTATCAGACCAACTAGCATCCCTCAGACCTCTACGCCATCCTCTGACGCTGATGCACGCTCGATTGGTTCATCTCCAACATAATTCGAAACATGCCCGGGTGATACTAAAGCGGTTGCTTCCTCACTCGACAGGACCGACGCAAATGGTACCCCGAGAGAAGATCTGGCCTTCATACGAAGCGCACTTGATGATTATTCATCAATATCTCCACCTGCATGATGCAACCCCTGAAAATGGAGAAGATATCATCGATGTTCCAACCGTATTGTCCCAGCTGAAGGCACTGTCGATGCTGGCGAACCAATACGGAGACAATGCAGTTGAACAACTCGTGACTGTCATTCGCTTCACCGTGTTGTCTCAAAACTACGAAAACTCGTATTCAATACGGCATGAAGACGTGGACACTGCTTTGGCAGAGGCAGAGGGGATACTGGGGTTAGATGGATTTGACACGCAAGGCTCATCACCGACTACTACGCTACCGAAGACAACGGTGCAAGGGAGTAGTCAAACACCCGGGCCATCGTCATCGATGACAACAAGTGAATCGATAACACCCTTGATCCGGGATGTGTTAGCCAATAGTGGTACGAATGTCGTAGCCAATCTCAGGACACCCGCCTTTTCTTTCCCAACAAATCCACTCGGGATGAACGTGTATACCCAGCAGCAGCAACAGCAAAGCGATGATATGAATACAACGGATAAAGTGGAAGCCGATGCTGCAACACCTGGCACAATTCCGGCCTACCTCAGTTACCTGCGGATTCAGACGTTGATGCTCAGTATCCTTTGGCTCACCCATTGTGGACATTCTGCTCGTAGTTC